GAACTCGTCCTGCTCGTGCTCTGGGCTGCAGAGGGGTCGGAATGCACCCTGATAGTTGAAGTCCACGGTGTACTGCCGCTCTGTCATCATCATGTGGGCGGTGTCGAGCCCCATGGCCTGTGCAAAGGCATCATAGGTCAGCACTCGTGGGTGACCTCCCAGCATAAACTCCACCTGTGGCCGGCTGTTCTTGTTGGTTGGGACGATGTGGGAGAAGGTGGAGTAGAACTCCGCGCAAATCTCATGGTAGATCTCCTCGTCCATGGTCAAGAACTAGCGCCACTGGGGGTGGCTGAGCACTCCATTCATCGCGGCTTGGCACCTAAACAAGTTGAACATAGGTCCAGCCGCCAGTGAGGCCCAATGGGGATGCCACTATGGTAGGCGAACTTGTCGCCAAAGTTCATGTGGTTCACCAGATAACTGATGAACTCATGCTCCAAGTTAAGCATCCTGCACAAATACAAACACACACCATATGTGGAAACATTCGTCAAATAATGCTCATTGGGAGGAAAAGAGATTCCCCCCACACTTGTTTTCCACCATGGTTATCAAACATTTAAGCTCAAACCACCGTGGCATGGTTGTGGGTAATTCACGGTTCAAGCACACAAAAAGTTGAACCACAAACCTTACCACGGTGGCTACCATCCACCAAACAAGAATAAACTCCACTTGCATTCCCGACATAGCACTTGGTGGGCAAATTCTAAAAATAAACACAATTTGGTTTAAACACGCCCAAGGCTCACTAAGCTCATGCAAAAATCAATCCATCATTCAATCAACCTAATTCACCTAATTCCTCGCCCTAAATCTTGATTCAATCATGCAAAGCACAATCATTCAATTCCCAAAAAGAAACTACATGGTAGAGTTAGGGTTTCACAACACCCAAGTGAAAGGAGATCTACTCCATGCTAGAAATGGGGGAAACACAAGGAGAAGAGGTGGAAACCATCTTGTAGGATGCTCCCAATCTTCTTGGCCCTTGTGTTGAACTTTCCTTCGAGGAAATATTCCCAAAATCCACCTTGAAGCGAAACCCTAGCCTTCTTCTCCTTTGGTTCGCGTTTCTCTCTCTATAAATCTAAAGAAGGCTTTTCACATAAAATGGGCTCTCCTGGCTCTCCTCCTTTCGGCTCATCTTTTAAACCAGAGACGAGCTCAGTTCACGGTCATGAACCATGAAACTCGTCTGTAAACTGCAAGCGTGCGCCAAAACGCACCGCTTCGTTCACTTCTGTTCACGGTCAACAGCCTCCGTTCACGGTCTTAGTGACCGTGAACTCACCTTGCGTCAGTAACCTCTATTTTGGCTCTGGACGCCTCGAAGTTCACGGTCAAGGGCTCTTCTTCACGGTCGTGCAAGACCGTGAACTTCCTGGGATAGCCGTGAACTGGCCCTTTTCCACCTCTTCTCCCGGTTTTCAATCCTTTTCGTCCAAATTTCGACTCTGAGGCTGGTTTCACCTGTTAAACCCTGAAACACACTAAAACAAGAGAAACCTAGCGTAAAACCAACCTTTTAGGAGTGAATTTGCCACAAACACCTAAGTAAAACGGGGGCAAAACATGTACAATTAGCCCCGAATCACTAGATGCGTCGAGTTTCAGAGTTTAATCGTATGTTTGCTTGGGGATAAGCACATGCTTAAGTACGAAAGAATTTGATAATACTTAAATTGACGTTTTTTTTCGGTAATTGTTGTTGCTTCTAATTATAGGTCAAGTTAACCGAACTTTGGCCAACCTCTCGAAAAACATATGTGCTATAGACAGCAGAATACAGTCCCTACCATCAGACTCTCATGCTACTTTTACATACTTAATGTTTGTACTTTTGAGACAAACATCCATACTTACTATGACTAAGTACTATCTACACAAATCAATCCGACTTTTATAACTTAAGCAAGCCAATACTTGAGCAAAATCACCATTTCCAGCACTGTAGCTTCGAACCTCCTCCATAATTTAGAGAAGAACATCTTCTTATCTTCTCATTATTGCCTGGAAAATTCTGCATCATCTCTCACTCTTCAGGAACATACCAACTCCATATTCAACCTATCAACACCCTTCAGCCCCCACTCTGCCCAACAATTTGGCAAATCCTTTCTACCATACTCTTCCATTCATCTGGGCAGTTTATACTCGCAAACAAGGAATACAATATAGAGCTAGAGAACATACATTTACAGAATAGACGATCCTTGTTCTCAGGTTCAGCCTTGCACAATACAAATTTATCATGATCAGATTTCTCTCAAGCATTCAACTTATCCTTCGTATTAATTTTATCTTTGAGTTCTAACCAAGTCAACAATCTAAGTTTTGGTACCATGTATTTTCCCAGAGCATCTTTTCCCACTCAACCCTTGCCCCTCTCGATCTGATAGTTTTCTAAATAGTCTTGATAATGTATTTATTTAATTGGTGATATTCACCCGCCATTCTCAAGGCATTTTCGTGCTAAAACATCGTGTATAGGCCACATTGCAAGCTCTTTTTCGTTCCTATTCGCAAATCATTAGTTTTAGCATGATTTGTTTTGATAGGAAGGATTTATGGGAAAATTGCCTCACTTTGTCATGTTTTATCCCGAACAAGGAGACCTTAGATGTACATAGAGGATCTCTAACAGTTGGCGCATGATGCTTACTAGTAAACCCAATGACTTACTTACTCCAGCATTGCCTTAACTTGGATGGCGACTAGGGTTGTTGTTTCCATTATTCTATAATTTCAAGACCCCAATGGATCTATAATAAGATCATTTATTTACAACGGAATGGTACATCATTTCCCCCCAATCAGCAGTCTCGATGATGGCTGCCTTATGCACATTTTTAGCTTCTTGTCTCTAGGCCTGTCTATTCGGTTTCAGGTTTTTGGTTTAACCCGAACCTATATAAACAGAGTCGGTTTCGGTTTTTTTGGGTTCAACCCGATACACACAGCAGCGATTTCGGTTTACCAAAACCCGCAAAACCGAAAACCCGCAAAACCCGATAGCATCGCACGCTGTCGTTTTGGCTTTTGATAGCAAGAGCAACCCTACCCTAGCCTTCAGCCATTCTGTCGCCTTCTCTTCGATTTTGGAAAACGAAACAGAGGACAGAGCCTCCTCGGCCCTCGCTTCAGCCCTTCACCTCTTGCCGTCCCCGCCATCATCGTCCTCGCCGCGCCGCCTTCATCGTTCACCACCATCAAGTATCAACTTCGCTCTTCGCCTCTGGGTTAGAAGCTTCTGTTCCTCCAACTGCAGGCACCGGCGGCCGCACAGGATACACTCCTACGACCAACCAAAGACAAAAACCAATTTCAGAAACAGGGGGATTGCGACAAAATAGACTTCAAAGGTTAACTCCAGACCTTCAATTCGATTGATATCAGAAGGATTGATCGGCGCGGCAAGCATCCTAACGCAGACGTCGTTCTCTTTCACTTCCACCGGCGGCAACTCAACCATCCTGAGCAACTCCCTTTGCTCTTCCCCTGTTATCCTAAATCACCGTACAAAACAGAGATGGAATCCCAGTAAGCTTCTGCCTTTGATTGCTTTCTAATTGCTTGCTGTTGAGTTGTTTTGGTTGTGGCTTGTGGGTTGATTTTCTGGGTTCCCTTTGTTCCAAAGGGAATGGTCAATTTGCTACTCTCTACCCAGTTGCTACTTTCTGGTCAATTGGAATGTTTAGTGTCGTGGGTGGATTCAACTTGGTTTTCTGTTTGTGAGTAGTGGTTGTGTTGTTGTTGTTGTTGTTTAGTGTCGTGGGTGGATTCGACTTGGTTTGATGGTGGGATTGATCAATTTGTGGTGGTGGTGGTGGGTGGTGGATGATATTATTCCAGAGATGGGTTTGATCTATCTCCTCCAATCTCCCTCAGACTCTGCATGCGCCAAAACTTGGGAACCAATTTGGGACCAGAGCTTTCAAAAGACACTCGTTGTCAATATGGAAGCTAAAACAGAGGAAGTAAAGTACCAGAAGAAACAGAGAGCTTGCTGGTGGTGCGAAGAAGCAGATTGCAGAAACGAATTGAGCGGGCAAACGGTGATCGGATTGAGATTGGACGTACGATTTGGGAGATATTTACACTGAGAGATTTGAAGTTACCACTGTAACGAGAAATTGACAGGGGCGCTATTTTTTCCCCTCTGGCCTTGCGGTTAATCTGAGTTGATCTGTTCTTATTCTCTCTTTCTCGTTGTGTTGTGTTGTGTCTTTCTCTGCTTATCTGGTCTGCAGCTTTCAATTCTTCCAGTGGAGAAGTTGTGGTAGTCTTATCCAATGATGAATATCCGTGTTGGATCCACGTTGCACTAATCCATTATTATAGAATCGTTCAAATAAAATAATTATGTTTGACTACCAACAAATGAAAAAGAAAATGTTGATTCTGACCTGATATGCTCACATGTATTTTTGTGTAAAAACGTTCAATATTATCCTGCATACAGCTTTGATGATGTGGTGTTCCAAGCTAAACTAGAATATGGTTCATCTAGAGGAATCTAGAATAACACTCAACTTTTCATTTTGACAGGGGAAATGAGGCACCATCAGCTTCTCGTCCTAGACGTGGAGGACACTCTAAGAGTACCAGCATTCCTGCTCCTGTACCATCTTCTGCACCGTCTTCCGATCCTGTACCATCTTCTGCACCGTCTACCGGTACCACCAATGTACCTCCTGCTCAAACAATAGACGAGGAGACAATTTCAAGAAAAAGAAAAGTCTGACGTTTGGCCACACTTCAAGCATTTTAAGAAGGATGGGTTGGACAAAGCAAGATGCATTTATTACAATGGTGTTCTTATGGCTCCCACTAAATATGGGACTTCTACTCTGCGGAATCATAAAGATAGTTGTTTGGAAAAGATACAAAAGGGTGAGCTGATAGTCGACCATCTATCATCTTCTGGAGGCCAGGTACACACTCTTGGGACTTGGAAATTCGATCAGATTGATGCTAGGAGAGCTTTAGCGGAGATGATTATCATAGATGAATTACCATTTAGGTATGTTGAACATGAAGGGTTCAAACGGTTTATGGCTCGTGTTTGTCCAATGTTTGTGTTACCTAGCCGTCAGACCGTTAGAGAGGATTGTATCAAGGTGTTCTTTGAAAATATAGAGTTGTTGAAGGACTATTTCAAGACTAAGTGTTTAGGGATGGTATCGCTCACCACTGATACTTGGACTTCTTTGTCCAATCTCAATTATATGTGCATTACTGCTCATTTCATTGGTAGAGATTGGAAATTGCATAAAAGAATTATTAACTTTGTCCAAGTTACAAAACATTATGGAAGTGAAATTGGAAAACAGTTGGCTAGTTGTTTGGTGGAGTGGGGCATTAGGAAGGTGTTTTGTATAACAATGGACAATGCTAGTGTCAATGATGTGGTTGCTATCTATATGAAGGAACAGTTGAAAGAGTGGGGATCAGATATTTTGGATGGAAAATATCTGCAGATGAGGTGTGTGGCTCACATTATTAATTTGGCTGTGAAGGATGGGCTTAAAGAAACTGGTAAATCTGTGGAGCGAGTGAGAGATTCTGTGAAGTGGGTTAAATCTACACCAGCTAGGAGCAGAAAATTTAAAGATTGCATTGAGTTTGAAAAGATAGCTTCGAAGAAATTTGTTTCGTTGGATGTAGCTACAAGGTGGAACTCAACGTATCTGATGTTGGAACCTGCAAAGCCATTTGAGAAAGCATTTCAGACATTAGCTAGAAATGATAAGAAATTCAAGAAACATCTCAATGAAAAAAATATGGAAATGAAAGTCTTGGTATCACGGCTTCTGATGATTGGTCTAGTGTGGGATGGTTGATTGATTACCTGAAGCTATTCTATGATTTGACTGTTCGAGTTTCTGGGACTTCATATGTGACTTTACACCTCTTGTTTGATGAGGTATGTGAAATGTATACTATGATATCTGAGTGGGCTGATGGTATAGATTTTGAGGAGTCTTGCATGGCTGATAGAATCAAGTCCAAACTTGCCAAGTATTGGTTTGAAGATGAGTTGGAGAATTCCAAGATGAATCGGTTGTGTTATATGGCAGTCATATTAGATCCTAGGCGGAAAGTTGAATATCTTGAACAAGCTTTAAAAAAGGTATATGGTGAGAGCAGGGGTAAAGCTTTGGTCGAAGAGGTGAAAGATGAAATGCGTCTTCTATTTGACCATTACAAGCATAAACTCGGAATTCATGGCAGTTCTCCCATTGTGATTCAAGAAGATGAGCAAGAACCTAGTGGAAGTGGGGATGGGAAGAAGAAAGGGAATATTTGGGGTGATTTCAGGAAAATGAAAAGAGATGTCATTCTGAAAGGAACCAGAAAAAGTTCAAAATCTGAGTTTGATAGGTACCTTGAGGAGAAGGAGGATGATGAAGTGGTTACACGAGCATTGGTGGGTTTAGAAGAGGATGAATACAAATTTGACATCTTGGGATGGTGGTCGCGAAGTGGGATGAAATATCCTACTATTTCTGAGATGGCTAGGGATATTCTTGCTGTTCCTATTTCATCTGTTGCTTCTGAGCCGGCATTCAGCACAGGAGGTCGAGTTTTAGATTCGTTTAGGACCTCCTTATCCCCTGAAGTTGTGGAGGCGTTGATTTGTTGTGAAGATTGGATAAGATCTTCAGACTCCGAGTTGGTGGCTGATGGAAAAGATGAGGGTGATGAAGTGGTATTTCAAAATGGTAAGGTTTTAATCTTTCTCTTTATTCTTATATTTGTTATCTTGATCAAGTCATATTCTAACAATTTGTAATTGTTTATGTTATCCAGTATATGTAGCTTTTCAAGCTCGGAGTGCAAGTGCACCTGCAGGACCTAGTGGAAGCTCTCGTGCAGGACCCAGTGGAAGCTCTCCTGCTACCCATGTTTTGGTCTCGAGTCCTACTATGTCACAAGTGGAAGAAGACTATGTCGACAACAATTCCGATGAGAATGATGAGACTTATGTAGATGTAGAGCCTGATGAGGAGTGATAATGGTAGTAGTATTTATCTTGTATGGTGGATGAATTTTTATTTTACTTGGATGTTATCATTTGAGAATTGTAAAACTAATGTGTTTAATTACGAGTTGAACTTGGTCCCCCATAAACAAAATGAGGTAAGCAACTCATGTGAAACAATTCATAAAACGGTAGATTTTGCACACAATCATCTCAAAAATTTTAAAAAAAACCCCAAACAATCTCAAAATAAATAAAAACTTAACCCCTCAATCGTCATCTTTCCTTCTCTAACTTCTTAATTATGAATTTTTAAATCAAACTCGTCTCATCTAAATGAAATTATAATCAAGGATTGAAAAACGGTATCTTTTTTGGATGATAGCATGACACGGATTTTTTATTTTGCACTTAAATTCTGTTTTGATGATTATAGGCCGCAGCAATGACACGGATTATAATTTCAATCCTTGCACTTAAGTGCAAAATGATTATACGGATTTTTTATTTTGCACTTAAAAACCGATGAATCTTTTCGTCTCACCATTGCATGGTACAATAGAATTGTGTGGTGTGCCAAAAGTTTGGAAGAAATTTCCATTTAAAGCCATTGTCTGGCTTTAGCACTCGGAGCCCGAGATAATCGTCTCCGGATTTGCAATGAAGTTTCAATTCCTGCCCTCCTTCTAGCTCATTCCACACCACCACATATGTTTTTCCGTACCCTGGATCCCACCAATAGGGAGTCCCCTTGCTCAAATAAATTTCTAGGGTTAATACTAGAAAAGCAACAAAAAATAATTTCTCATCCACATTGTTGTTTCTATGTTTAATTAATCACTCCATATGAGACCTTGAGTTTGCCTACTTATAGGTGAAGATCAATGCACGTGAGCAAGTTTGTTGTTGCATTATAGAATCTACCGTAACTTCTTTTCCATTAATCTAGGAATAAGATGAATTGGTCGGAGGTGGTAATATATATATATTTTGTGTAAACAGGGCGCTTAGCTCGCATCAGAAGTGGTAATATAATTAATGGATTTAAATAGAAGCGTTATTTTTGTAGAGGATTTCGGAAAATTTGAGCATTCAAGTATACAACTATTTTCTCTAATCAGAAAATTAATAATAAAACTAATGATCATAAACTATTTAAGGTTATAAGGTAATTTATGTAATAATGTGAGGCTGATCAATGTATCACATTACTTTTTCACTTTTATATGGGACTTAGTAAACTAATTTTACTATAATTTTAAATTGACCACCTTATTCAGTATTCTATATAGGTAACAATCTTTTTCTAAGGACTTGGAAGAGAGAGCACACATATTTGTTCACTCCTAGATTTGTTCGGGAGCTGAATTTAATTAACGACTATCAAATTATTGCAATATATAGTTTTCTTTTTGAGCTTCGCAATTGTAGAAAATAAATCATCAAGAAGATTTGGAAAGAATTCGAAAGAAAGCTTCCTTATCAAATAACTATCCATGAACATTCCGTTGACGGCTTCTGTCTTCTGCTCCCCAACAAGTGACTAAAGTCGACAATACTTCAGTTTCATATAAAAAGACATTTTGGAGTAACAGTTTCCTAGGAACTGGTATCAGTGACGGACCCAGAATTGTCGGAGAGGTGTGTCGACGATAAAATAAAATAATAATTAAATTGAATACAAAATTAAGTAGAAATAAACAAAATTCATAAAGTTCTGTAATGTTTACAACGAATCGCGATGACTTTTCATCTGCTGAAATGTCTCTAAAATACATTAATCATTTATACTGCAAAGAAAATCTTTTTCAATATACACAACTAAACAATCATTCATAAATTGGTCACTCAACCGATTTCGAAGATCATTCTTGATTATCTTCATAGCTAATAAAAATGTTCTTTCGCAGCTTGTCGTTGCAACAGGTAATGATGGGGAGTTAGTGGCCGCCTGGGCTATTGGCCATTAGGCCTGTGGGTTTTTTTTCCCTCTTTTAATTGTAGGCCGAGGCCCAACACACATCACACATGTATATTGTATGGGCTGAGAGTTTGTTTTTTTTAATAGGAATTAATAGGATTATAATTTATGAGTTATTATAAACAAAATTAAAAAGGATTATGATTAAAATTGATTTATTCGGATAATAAATTCTTCGAGTATGATGAAGGTGTGTTGGCTATAATTATTGAAGGTGTGTCGGATATCTCGAAATAAAAAAAAAATTGTACAAAAAATATGTAGGTTCTTCACAAAATTCTTGAGCGAGGATGTCGAACAACACACCCTCCCTTGCCTTAGGTCCGCCACTGACTGGTATATATTCATACATGGATATTTTAGAGTAACATGTTTCAAACGATATAACCTATAGTACACGAAACTCATTAACATAAATATATAGTATAATAATGACATATGTTTTGGTGTGAATTCAACTCGGAAACAAGCCAACCTGAGCGCAGTTTCCACCGTTGTCTTTTCTTAATAACTGATTACTATGGTCTATGGTGTCCTCGATCGGTAGTCCGTTGACGAGGAGTTGTAGATTCTTCTTTGTCCTATTTTATCTAAACAATAATAATCACCTCGGTTACAATTACTAGAAACAGTACGGTTGGGCTGACTTGTGGCAGCGTACGTAACGGAGTGAGTCGTCGTTGTCGTTGTAGAGGCGGCCGCCGGCATCCCGGCGGTTTCGGTAGGGTAACTGTCGCCGGCGGCCGAACCGGAGTTCCGCGATTGGCTTCTGACCACGCCACCTTTGCTTTGTCCGTTGTTTGCCTCGCCGCCTACAAACACATGCATATGTATCACATATATCTCAAATTTTTATTACGAAATTTGGTAATTAATATTATTCATCGAAAAAGAAAGCTAGCTTATCATAACAAATTCGTTACTTACTCATTTGCGAGGAAGATGCTGCTAGCTGCCTGGCGGCGAGGGTAAATTGAGAGAACAACACGAGTGTTAGAACGAACAGGAATCCGCTGAAGACGAAGAATAAGAAGGAGGAGAAGGGGATTCGGTTTCTCATTTTCCTCCCTTGGTCGTGTGAGTGCGAGCTTAATTAGGTAAGATGGAGAGAGGGATGGGATTAGGTGCTAACCCTTATAGGGGTTAGCATCGTGATAACTAGCAAAAAACGCTATTAAAAATAACGAAATCACTACGGATTATTATAAAATCAATACAACATCTAAGTTAAATCACTACTAATTCAAACTAGTAGTAGTTTTTCCCTTGGTTAGGACGGTGCTAACTATTGTACAATTAGCACCGTAACCGCTCCCGTGGAGAGATGATGGGAATCGGGGCAAGGGAACTATGGTTACTTATAATAGCTAGGGAGGACCAATTCTAGTAGGGCTAGCTATTTGGTCCCGGTCTGTTTGGTTTTACCCCAAACCGGACCGTATAACCCGGATCGGGATCGGACTGGGACCGGATAGCAAACAATGCAATTTCATATTTGGACTTAGGGGTCGTTTGGAGAACAGGATTCAGGACATGCATTCACTGAATCCGTAGATTTTGGAGAAAGTTATGTTTTTTTGTTGCTTTTTGTATTGTGGATTCTAGCTTTATAGATTTCAAATCTCTAAAATTTGCGGATATCAAATCTCTCATAATCAGAGAGATTCTATATCTTGATTTGTGAGATTTTTTCTCTCCTAATTTTTCTCTTCCTTTTATTTATTTATCACATGAAATATATTTATCAATAAAGTTTTTAATATTTCTCGAACCACTCTAATTTTTTATTAAGGATAAACATTGTATTTAATATAAAATTAATTTTTTTTATTGTACTTGAATGTTAACAATCACAATTACCAAACAGTAAACATTTT